GTGCAAGTCATGCGAGCCATGTGACCCATACATTTTTAATATTTTTTTTTTATCTGTAATTATTTTTATTAACTTACTATTTTATTTATTTATTTATTATTACATAAACAGGCAGTTAATTACTTTCGTAATTTTCTAGGGGAATATTCCACCGTGGTATAATTGAAGCATTGTGATTGGCTATGTTCATGTTGCAGGAGGAGGAGGACGATGTTGACGGTATGCAGGTTTTGCCTTCACTGGAGAAGTACATTAATATATAGTGCATTACATTAATAAAAATATAAAAAATATGGACGCGGCAGAAAAGCGCTTCGCATGTTTTTTGGATCCGCAAAAGTGACAGTGACAATATTCTAATATAAATTATGATGTTCATATGACCTTCTCATGCAGTAGCCTAATACTAAAATCAAACCATTTCCTTCAATCAAAAAGTGACTTAAATCAACCCGGCCCGATCATATCCCTAGCTGAGTCTAATATTAGGAGTCGCAACAAGGCCTCACCAACCTCGAAACCAACAGGAGAGGGCGCCCGACGAAGAGGGGGGTTTGAATTCTGAAAGACGAATCGTACCCACCTGCATGTTAAATCACGTTCGATAACAATTGATGTTATTGTTCTTAGACTTATCATGATAGATTAATAAAAAAAATAATAATTGAATAGAATACTAAAATAGTATGGATTATCAGGGGCGGATCCAGCCTGCCAGAAAAGGGGGGGGGGCGCAATCTGCGAGGGATGCGAGCAGCCTTAGGCTGGGGCCAGGGGGGCCGTCTAGGGCCCCCGGCAGGGTCCAGCAAATTTGGTTGGGGTTGCAACATTTGGTTGGTTAGGGTCCAGCACATTTGAGGAATATGAGGTTGTATTGAGTTGATTTTGACTATCTAGTATGGTAGTTTTCAGTAACAAATAAATAAAAAAATAAATAGGTGTATGTCTTTTAAAAGAAATTTTAATATACAGGGTACCTGCAATATGCAACTATGAAATGTGTCATTAAATTAATAATAATTCATAAACTCACAGCTGTGGGTTTTAGTGCCTCTTCCACGAACATCTCAAACATAATCTTTGACAACATGCAAAGGCTCATAAATGTACACCATTTCAAAAGAGAAATTTCACTTCTAGAAAACATGATGAAGTTTCTCAGCAACATCGAGCATAAAAATCACAAAACAGCAAGAAGGAAAACTAATATCCAAAATCCGTTAAAAAAAGTCGTCAAACAACAAAATCCGCTACTGTATATTATCATTGAGTAAATTACAAGTATTCTATTTCTCACCAAGTGGATTTATGAATAGCACTCTCCTCGTGTGTTTTTGGTAGGAAAAGAAGACTTAAACACTGTGGGTGTAATTTTGTCTTTTCTTTTTTTCTTTTTTTTTCTCTTTTTTTTGCAAAAAAATAGGGGGGTGTACGCCCCTTACACCCACCTCCCTAAATCCGCCACTGGAAATAGGCCTAGGCCCTAGGTTTATGTAGGCCTACTTTGTTTCATGTCAATTAGAGACAACAAGATTATACAATTTCATACAGTAGGGCCTATATCTTGTAAATTACACAATGATGATTAAACCAGGTACTGTACTTGAAAACAATAACGAAGTAAAAAAAAGTCTACACAAAAACTGTACTTTATTAAAAGAGTAAGCCTACTGAAGGAGATGTGCACACATATCAGTGTACTGTGGTCACTGTGCATGGGGTTGTCTGACAGCACATACCTGCTGACCTCGATAGAGAGTGATTGATAGCACGAAAGTTTCCATGCTGGTGCATCTGCGCTAAAACTGTCTTTGTAGCTATGCATTGGGCGATGTGACATAGAATCAACCTTTCTATGGAATTGAGTATCCATTTAATTATCTCAAAGAAAAAAAAAATGTTTGTGATATAAGGGGGAGGGCGTCGCAGGCCCCTCCCCCCTAAATCCACCCCTGGTTATTCTATAATTTTGAGGATTACCATAACTACAACCGGCCACCAAGAGGGTGGCAGGGGGAAGATTCCTGGGGCCGAAGCTTACCAGGCGCCCATAAAAGTTGTAGGTAGCATTTTGTTTTCCATATTTAAAAAAAAAAATATTATTTACTATCATGGGCCCTCAATAATGGCATGGGTCCCCTAATAATGCCCTCCCCCCAGATTGACAGGGCCCCTCAAAAAAGTGTTTGCACCTCGGCGCAATTTTTCTCACGCGGCGCGCTCGTAACTGAGGGCCCACACTCACCCTTTCCCCTGTTACACTTTCCTCTCTTGGCGGGCCAGATCACTGAACTACTGTACAGACTCCCTAAAAATTTGCCACACATAGCTCCATCATCCTCTTCCATCATTTCACCACACCCTGAATGAATCATGCCTTTGTTTTTATATTATTTGGCATTTACAGTCAGATAATTAAGAAAAATTTATATAATAATACAATAATTATAATATACCCAGCACCCAGAAGCATTATTGTTCAGGTGGTTTTTGATTTACTGGTAATTGTAGTCCACATTGATGTTAAAAAGTGTTTTTGTATGGCTTGTAAATCTCTATTTAGCAGTTAATTTAATTCTACTAAGGTAAAACATTGATAATTAATTCAATGTTGAAAATGAAGTTGCTTTCATTTCATCCGTCCATAGTTACTAGAGACAGTTCAAAGAAAAATAAAACGCCCTAAGACTTTATTCCTAATGGCCTTTATTTTTGGAAGGTTGGGGGGTGGGTGGGCGTTAATCGAGGGACGTTTGTTCAAAGCAGGGCATTTACGGTATTTGAAGAAATGCTTGAAATTATTAATTGTTATTTAAAACATGATGGATCACAGACAGGATGTTGGCCCGTAAATTAATTATTATTAGTCTTTTATGAATTTTTAATTATGACGTTTAATCTTTTAATTGTGTTTGGTTTCATGTTTTTTAATTGTCTTTGCTAGTTATGTTTATTTTGTGTAAATTAAACAAGGTCCTCCGTCCATGCATGGGGCGAATGGGCAGTGTGAGTGAAATGAATATTACATAGCCTATGACATAGTCATAGTCAAAAAAATATGTTAAAATAGTTTTATTATCATTATTGTAATTATTTTATAAATTGCACAAGTGTTTATTAGCGTAGACTTTTTGTGCCTCGCATGACTCGCACTGTTGGTACACGTCCCGCAAGATTTACCTTCATGGCTCGCATAAATTGCATGCCTCGCTGGACAACTCGCTGACTCGCACTTTGGCAACCCTCCGTGCCCTTCATGGTGAACTGTAGGCCTACTGATTAAAATGTAACTTAAATATTTGTGTTGGTTGTGAGGTAACTACTTAGTACACTTGAAATTAAGTAACTCTTGTTTTTTTTTAAGCAACTGTACAGGAATTAGGATAATTGCCATCTTAATTCTTACAATTCCTTGTCACCAATGAATAGCGTCCCTATTTTTGATATTCAAATTTTGGCAGGTATGTAAATATACAGCCTTTGATGGACAGACGTAAAAACATTAGAAATCATTACTGGACCAGAAATCTCTCTAAACTATGCCGTCCAATAATTTTTCAATTAGTGGACACTTGGCTTGATTTTTTTTAGGTTCATGTGCAAAAAAAAAAATTCCTCATTTTTTCTTCTCCAAAAATTACTTTCGTAAAACAAGCTTAATGAGGACCCGAATTCAATATTAAGTATGAACAAATAAAGAATTCATTGAATCAATGGACCCTCATAAACAAAACAAACTGAAAGTTTAATAGGAATATTCTAGACCTATTTTAAAGACTCCAGGAACAGATTTGGATGTAGGCCTCCTCTTACTAAGCTGTAGCCTAGCCTAGTTATGAAATCATTGCACGATTTTTACCTGTCTGCATGCACCGACCAAAAAGGTCAGCAATGCCACCCTGACACTTGCACGATTTTCGTTTCCGCACTGGCACGCCGAAGTGCGTGCCAATGATTAAAGTCTTTGGGAACGAGCGTGAGGAGTATGAGGTGTGCGGGGATGCGCACCATGTCGTAGAGAGAATTTTAAAATGTTCAAAAATTTGGCAGGTGTCAATGTTCGTGCCATATGTGTGAACCATGCGTGTACTGCGCAAACTCGGCACGAACACTGCCGACGGTGCGTGTCAATTAAGAATGCTCTTCCTCTTTCTACCTTTTCCCCTGCTCTTCAAATAGTATTAGTCCGCAGTTGCCAGATAGACACCTTCTCTGTTCTGCAATAACACTGTCTCTGGGATTCAGCATGTTGAATCGTTCATAGCAAGTCGAAAAAAAACCTACGCTATATGTATAGTGTGCTGCCAAGCTGGACAAAGCCTGACGAAAAATTGCCACGACGAATTTACGCTTGCGCGAAGTTGTCGGGGCAATGCGGGAAGACAGCAGGAATTATGCATGTTGTATGTGACACTGCGGGACAATACGGTACGAACAATACTTAACCTATGCATAAACAAGTATTGCCATTGCGTGTCAATACGGTACATTTTTGTCGCACATTTGTACACAGTGCCTAACTTATGCGTGTACAAGAAAAATTGCATTACAAACAAGTTCTTTCTAACACAATTACGATAGTTATTCATCGTACGGTATTCGTATTGTTATGTACTGCTGATGTGTAGTTAATACATACATACTCAGGAGCACAGATCAACATACACACAGCTAAATGTAAATACGCACACAGTATACTGATCATATCACTATAGCAACCGATGACTGCTACACTAGTTGGTTATCAAACACTAAAATTAAAAGACGGTGATTAACTTATAAAGCAATTAGAGCATGCATCGTACACTAAAGGAAAATTATTATACTTAGGTAAGATTTAATGCATTAAAAAATTTCTTTCGGGCCTTGCAGGCCCTCAGAAAATTTTTTCAAGCATTAAATCTAACCTTCATATAATAATTTTTCCTATAGTGTACTCTGCGGAGTTCTACTAATTGCTTATTGATAGCAGCTCATGTGTTCCTTTATTTAATTTTCAGTGTAAACAGTCATGTTTGCAGAAACTGATGGAAAATGCAGTGCAAAATAAACTTGATCACTTCCCTTTTCTGTCCAACAAGTGAGTATATTTTACAATCTTGCGCATGAGGCTCATACGAACATTGTAATTTGTCTGAACAAATACTACTTCAGCACTAAACTGAACTGACACTGTCTTACAAAAAGTGAAAATAAACTGATTTAATTCGGTAATTCTTCTAATAATGTTACCATATTGCATATGGCTTTCCCTACAGGGGTGGCGCCAGGACCTGTCCGATGGAGGGGGTAAAGGCCCCGACGGGGGGGCCTAGTGGAGCGAATCGAGTCTCACTTGGCTAGGGGCCAGGGGGCCGCCTAGGGCCACGGATATTTGATGAATTATGGCGAATTTTTATTACATATTTGATAGGCATCAAGTTACTATAACACTTCATGTAGGCTATGCTTTCTAATGTTGACATCAGCTTCCAAAACCAAAACATTTTGAATAAAGCGAGAAACAAAGAGTATGCAATGTAACCATCTAATTTATTTCAAATCCTCATTCTTGAAAGTGAAATTCTATATTTTGGAAATTTTGCATGAAATATGTCAACCACGTTGTCATGGTCGAGGTTGCTTCACCTATCACGATGTATTCCAACCATCATGAGGCTATCTAAATGAGCATTTGTCATAACAGAACGCAAATTATTTTTAATTAGTCTCATTGAATTATTATTATTATTATTGTTATTGGATCATAGCCGTTCACTGGATGTTCATTGGCATACATTCAGATCTACAGTTTTATCATTATTATCATTATAAAATAACAGGCAAACAAATTGTTCTTATCTCACCCGCAACGTCTGCAGGCTGGTATAGTGTAGGCATGGAGCTGAGGTGGCTGGTTCCTCGGTCTGTGAAAGTTCCTCCCTGGTTCACCCCTCTTTCAAATTCCTGGATCTTCCACTGTTGATTTATTATATAATTATTTTAGCACTTATTTTATAATGTGTCTATTGCAATTTTCACTTTATCATCTCAAACAGTTCTAAGAACGTTCAGAGTGCGCTACTTCACAGGGGGATTCGTCCCCTTGACCCCGCTGGGGTCATACGTAATTCGCATAACGGCTCCCCCCTTTCAAAATCCTGGCTACGTCCCTGTTCATGCACTCCCATCCAATCAGTGCTTCACACTACTAACCTTAACTCATTTGCATCTCTGCACTCATTTGCATTACCTTATTTATATTCATTTCTCATTCAGCCAATCAGTAACTCACACAAAAAGAATACTTACCTTATTACCATATTAGACTGAAGACTGGCTGCTGTGTGTAAAAGTAAGGTTAGCGGTTCAAAGAAAATACCTGCTAATAAACTAAAATAGATATCACTTGTGACAGCATCCATATATTAACATTTTTAAAATTTGTAAATTAAATATTTTGCGTTGTCAGATATGAACTATTAAATAATAAATGATAATATAAAATGTAATAAACAATGTATATGACATGATAAATGATTGTAATACAGTAATGTACAGCAGTAGGTGTAATTATTGTGAAATTGACATTGTACTATTAGAAAAAATACAAAAACTGGCTCTGTCCTGCATATTTCCTGGAGTCTACTATGGAGACACACAATCTCTCTGGACCTGCCTAGCCTTCAGGACCGACTGCTGGAGATGAGTAGGCGGTATTTTGCTAAACTTAAATCCAATGAGCACCGACTGAACAACCTTCTTCCACCACCAATAGAACACAAATACAACGTAGATACAATAAAGCATTTTCCATACCACTCATGCGTACCAATAGATCTAAACAATTCATTATAAATCATCATGGATTAACTTATGAATGGTGATCCAGTCTGTGGTCCTTGTATACCATCACAGCGGTCATCACTGGAGGTCGGGTGGGCCCTAGCATCGACCTCCCCATAGAAGGCCCCAGGTAGATTCCTGGTAGTTTTACTATAGCTGGCCCTGATAGACGATGAATTTTCTTTTATCCTAATATTTTAAACATGTATTGCTGAACCTTTAAATTAATAATAATTAACTCAATTTAATTTATTAATAGTTGTACATGTCTTTTTTACCCTTGTATTTTGTTTTTAATTGATTCTTAATGTCTAAATTATGCAATAAATTAAATAATTAACTTTAAAATTTGTGATGTTTGTATGATGGTTATTTCTAATTACAGTTATTGATTCTTAATGTCAAAATTGTGCAATAAATTGAATAATTAACTTAAATTAGTGATGTTTGTATGATAGTTATTTATTATAGTTTTACAATTAATTTAGTAATTAACTTTCATTTGTTTTAATGGTTCTTTTCCCCGCTTTATCTTGTATTTGTCTAAGGTGATTTATTCTTGATGTTTGTACGGTCACTTTTTGTTTAATATTTTTTATACTATTGAAGAATATGTTAATTCAACTCAAAGTTTCAATAAAGAAAGATTGATTGATAGAGAGTGAATACAAAATCTGTTTGCAGTAATCATGTGGAGTTTGGTATCATTGCTTTGGATAAGTTTGGGAATAAAGTTAATTTAGAAGATGGCTGTAGCATTTCATATGGAAAAACTGTAAGTATGGAAATTTCTAAAATAAACAGTGATTTTATGTGGTCATAGAATTTAAATGTTGTCCGGCCAAGACAACGAAACATGTTTGCGGAAAATAATATATTTATCTCTTTAAAAGTTGTGTTGTTGCTTCTTTGTGAAACTTTAGAAGCATCATACAGTAGAAGGCTTCACAATTAATACTCCAGTATCGAGACAGGAAATCAGGAATTTGGAAAAACGATCAAAAAAGTCTGTCAAGTGCAGAAGCTGATTTTCTAATAAATTGTAGGGCGTTTTTCTAAAATTTATAACAATAATAATGATAAAAGCAGTGGCGGATCTGGAGGGGCTCAGTGGGTCCTGATCCCTCCTTCCCCTCCCCCTTTGGGGAAAAAAAAATCTACACATACCTTTTCAGAGCCTGTGAGCTGAAATTTTTTTTGTTACAGTGGGGAAATTAGTTGGGATTCATTGAATCATATTTCAAGAGAGGGAAAACTTAAACTTTTAATGACTTAAAAGTCAACTCAGAAATCGGGAATGCTCATTACCCACCATCTAGGATAACAATTTTCAGACCCCCCACCCCCTTTCTTTTTTGGGTTTTTTTTGGAAACATTTTTACCCCCTCCTAAATTTGAACCCTGGTCCGCCCCTGAAAAGTGGGGGGATGTTGGCAAGAGATACTACCACAAAGTATTTCCACTATTGTCATTTCTTTATCCATAATACAGTGTTGTATATTTTTCCAAATATTAAATTAAACCTATACATTGATTTCAGATCAGCCTGTGCATATATGACATTCCCAGTCTAGAATATCCAGGCCAACTGCTAGGTTCTGTTGTATTTGCCGAGAGCTTCCTTGATTCCTCACTGCAGGTTTTAAGTACAGGTAGGAGGCATATTGGATATTCAAGTTTATTGATGTGGAAGTTAGAATAATTAGTTGAGAACATTGAGTACTAGTAGAAACTGAATATAATGTACTAGGCCATGTTTCCAAGGAAATTTAAAACTAGCGCAATAAATACATTCATGCCAAGCACATAGTTGCCAACTTATACTGATTGACCGTGAGACTCACAGATAATTTATCATTTGCCAGTTTTATTATGGATGAACAAAAACTCACGGATTTATATGTTAGTCACGGATCAAGATTTTTAAACTAATAAATAATAATTTGCAAACGACATATACAGTAATATGCAATAAATAAATCATTTGCCATTTGTCTGTAGTGTTTACAGTGTAGTAAAGAGTAAAAAGGCTAAATATAGTGCAAGCCCAGTACGCTCGACGTTGGAATCTTAAACAAACGACATCCCTAACGCCCGCTGCCATCGCTGTGTTTTTATTACCCAGTAATACACCGCGTATAGTTTGTTTTTTTGTTAATCCGTTTCCACATGAAAGTACTGTAGCGTGATTCATGAAAAAAATGAGTGTGTTAAAAATGTTTTAATTTTACACCAAGCAACTGTCGGGTACTCATCCTAAGTTTACGATACTATACTTTGGTCAAATTTAAATGAATGTAACAATTGTTTACATACATACACTTGACTTAATTTAGTGTCCAAGATCAATCAAATCAGTAGTGAAAATGCCCTGGTTGACAGAGCTTCAAGCAGGCCTCACCCTCAACCAGTGGCACTCACAGATTATTTGGGGGAAAAGTTGGCAACTATGCAAGAATTATTTTATTCATTGCTGTTATTATGATCATCATCATCTCCTGAAGTGATGTTATTATCAATATATAGAGCTCTATTTTGAGGATGTTTCTTTCTATTAGATAACACCAAAGATGTGAGCAGTGAGTGTGTAGTGTTGACAAGTGCTATTCCAAGGACTGTTTCATGGGCTGTAAGTACACACATTGTTTTCAAAATTAGTTTCACCTCTGCGAGCTGAGCGGTTGGCTGAGAGGTACTGTTCCTGCTTCTTTTGCTGAAGACTCCGGTCTAAACCTAGCCAGCGCCTGGTTTAATTGGAGTCTGGTCGCTTGTCTTCTTAAAAAACCCTTATATTGAGAGTTAGGCTGGTTAAGGACTATATTTGTATCCATATGTGTTCCTTATTTGTTGTAGGTAAATCGCTTAGTGCTGCACTGCTGCTGCTGCAGGGACCTAGCCCCGACGCATCGTATAAATATTTCAAAAGGTTTTGTTTTTGACTACTTGTATTTTCTTTATGTCTTATAAATTAATATTTGTAATTTTATAATTTGTTATGGAATAAATATGTAAACTAGATTTGAACTTATCACTGAGGACGAGTTAGGTGATCCGCCCCACTTTGGCCCACGAGGAAGTGTGCGCGGTGCGGATTGACCAATGTTTAAATGCTGAAAATGACAAAATACACTAATTTAGTTTGTTAAAATAGAATTTGGAGCATTTTAAAAGATTTACTCATGCGTACGCGCACGTCATGATGCATGTGCGCATCTTAATGTCACTGTTGTCTGCTGATATGAAATATATATGTATCAACTTTCATTGACAAACGGCCTGTTGGTGAAGGAGTAATTATTCATTCATAGTATTTACCATATATAAAAATTATGTTTTTTGAATTTAGATGGCAATATGGTGACGTCACAATATCCGATCAGCTATTATGATATATATAAAATCATATCTACAACTCATGTGCTTTTAGAATGTGTAATAAAAATTGGGGGTCACCTTTCATCCTAAGGAGCTATAACTGATTGAAAATAGGCATGATATTAAGCACATTCCAAATTTTACGCACGCATTATGATGGAAAAGAAGGATGAGGGGGTCATCAAAAACCTTTATTTTGACCATGATGATGTCATCAAAATGTAAAAAGAAGTCACATAATGAAAGAAAATTGCTTGAGCTATAACATACTCAAAATTGGAAGACGATCGACCAAGAATAAGCGAGATACGCGCAAATGCGCATTTTTAAAAATGACGTCATCGATAAAATTCAGTTTGTTGAATTCAGATGGCAATATGATGACGTCACAATGTCTGATCGGCCATTGTGAGTTAGGTGATTGCTCAATCATTCATAGTATTTATCATATAAAAATTCAGTTTTTTTTAATTCAGGATGGCAATATGGTGACGTCACAATGTCCGATCAAGTATTATGATATATAAAATCATATCTATAACTCATGTGCTTTTAGAATATGTATTAATAAAAATTGGGGGTCACCTTTCATCCTAAAGATCTGTAACTGTTTAAAATTAGGCCTGATTTTAGCAAAATTTCACTGTATATCGGCACAAATGCGCACAAAGATCACTATATTTGATGCGTGCGTACAGCATTGTTATTGGCCATAGAGTGATTGAAAAGATTGGAAACTTGTCAAAACAATGTCAAAAACCCAAAATGTGACAAAAAAATTAATTTCTAGCTTCCATACATGCTGCACGCGTAAAAATGCGCACGGGTAGTAGTAAATTTCAAAAAATTTTGAAATGCTCAAAATGGCCTGAAACGTGCTCTAATTTAATCTAAATGTGATTTCGAGCATTTTAAAAGTTTGACGCACACGCGTAAAATTAGGGTAAATTACATTTAACATTGACTTGAAGTTAATGCTCACTTAATACGATTTCGAAATGTTAGGCTGATATGATCGATAATGTAAAAACACAAGATTGCGCGTAGATGACGTCACGCATAACTGCGCACTTTGAAAACCTTATTGTGGCTATTCAATGCCGAGCTAAATGTTTGTTGAAGCGTGCATGTTTGAATCTCGTGCCAATTTTTAGATATCGTGCTAACAAGAAATGGGGAGAACCTAGAATGAAAAAAAAAAGATCTCGGACAATAACAATAATAATAATAATAATTTTGGCTTATATAGCGCATTATGCTAAAGC